AAGATTGTCTCATATAAATCTTTGTCAAGACTGTCTTAGGTAAGACTTTGTTAAGACAGTCTTAGGTAAGACTTTGTTAAGACTGTCTTTGGTAAATCTTTGTCATGACTGTCTTATATAAATCTTTGTCAAGACTGTCTTAAATAAATCTTTGCCAAGACTGTCTTATATAAATCTTTGTCAAGACTGTCTTATATAGATATTTGCCAAGTCTATCTTAGGTAAGAGTTTGCCAAGACTGTCTTATATAAATCTTTGTCAAGGCTGTCTTAGGTAAATCTTTGTCAAGGCTGTCTTAGGTAAATCTTTGTCAAGAATGTCTTATGTAAATCCTTGCAAAGACTGTCTTAAGTAAATCTTTGTCAAGACTGTCTTATGTAAATCCTTGCAAAGAGAGTCTTAGGTAAATTTTTGTCAAAACTGTCTTAGCTAAATCTCTGTAAAGACTTTCTTAGGTAAATCTTTGTCAGGACTGTCTTGGGTGAATATTTGTCAAGACAGTATATACTATTACTCCATATATGATACGGAGTGTCTATACATTTGTTATCCCTTCCAAACGGTTCTGTAAAAACAGAGGATACACTGTAAAACCCGATCAAGTATCAACTATAACTACCCCAGCTTGTCGGCACGACACACGATGATGAAATGAATTCACAACTAACTGTATAAGAGAGAATTCATTCATTCATTCAGTAGCATGTCCCTCGCGGAACCTCGCTGCCATAACAACACTCCGGAAAACCTTCCTATCATGAGCAAGATGTCCTGCGTCTGATACACCCATCTGGAGATCATCTGCCACATCCTGCACCCATCTTCTCCTTGGCCTTCCTCTTCCTCTCTTCCCAGGCATATACCCCTCCATTATTGTTCTCTCTAGACCTCCATGACGTTTCAAGTGACCAAAATATTTCAATAAGAGAGAATACCCTGGATAAATAGACGGAGTAACGAAAAGAGCCTGAAAATAACCGACTCACGAAGAGAACTGATTGCCCCCAACAGAAGGTGACAATTTACATCCTCTGGTCATGCCATACAGAAGAGAAAACTGGAGAGCGACATGACGGTGAAACATTTGGAGTCAGGGAAAGACAGAAGTATAAGATGCTGGATAGTTTGGCATGGAAGATCATCGTTTCCAGAACTAATTGAAAGTACACGAGATAGAAGATTGTGGAAACAGATATACCACTAACGCCATACATACCACGGGAATTATTTAACGACAAATCTGTAATACGAGGCATCTGAGGACCAAGGGAGATAATGCTTTATGGCCCATGGCTATGGCATAAAGGAATTTGACAACGGAACTGAGTCACAACACCAAAGGTTTAGATCTGCGGAAGGCATTGATACCTAAGTCATACGCAGAGCCAGTCTAAGAACCTAAGAGACTCTTAACACCTAAAATTATTTGGCGCCCCCATATATATGTAATTCAAAATAAAAACAATAGTAAACCATAAAATAAAAATGAGAAAAATTACTCATATCATTTGTTGTCGGTGTCATTGAAATTTGAATCAGTTTCCTTGTAAAGTTTCAATATTTGACGTTACTACTTACTTACGTCCTTTTCAGGATGTAATTTTTTCTTATTTGAACCCTCACTCTGGCTTTTGCCAGGGGCCGCAATATAGGCAGGCCATCAATATGGCCAATTGTCTGAACGCGGTTTCTGGGACCTCTCCACGGTGATCCTCATCCGCATGGTGGCACTTTGTGTCATCGGGTGTTTATCGCTTGTGTGATGTCCTAGTGGGGTAGAAAGTCAGTCAGTCAGTCAGTCAGTCAAGTTTCAATATGAGTAAGTTTGTTGTTTGTTGTCTCACTGGACGCTGAGCGAGACACTCACTAGTACCCCTGCAGAATAAAGACCCACTGCTTACCCAAAAGCATGTCGTAGGAGTCAACTGAATGGGAGCTTCCTTCGAAGTCGGAATGCATCTGCCTGAGAGGCAAGGAACCAGCAGTCTGCATACACATGAGTCAGATATGTAAAACGGATGCACACGCAACACTCAGGTTCTGGAACAGGACGGCAGTCCAGAAGTGGACGAACAACCAGAACTTTCCACCAGAGTTTACAGCTGGTGAACACGAAGAAGAAGAAGAAGAATAAGAACGATCACCACGCGGACCGTGGGCTAGTAACCAGATTCTAACTCGGCTGTATTCCCAAAATTGTAAAAAATTTCCAAGTCTATTAGATATTTCTGTGGTGCTTAAGCACGTACTAATTTTTGTTTTGCTTAATGTTTAAGTCATCCCTGGGCGTATGACAAAGCACATGATGATGTTGATAACTTCAGGCATTGTCACTTATTGGCTTCCATAGACTGGCATTGTCCAAAGTCCAGCGAGGCCATGGTGTTTTGTGTCTATAGAAATCTTTCTTTTTCATGCCTTCAGGTGTACTGTGCGTATGTTTTATAGACTAAGCGCACTCGGTGGCTGGTGTGATCAACAACACACCGGTCGCCTTTACTTCCCAGGACTTTACCTCCTACTAGTTTAAGGCTGGGTCGACCTGAGAGCCAATGTCATTTTTTTAAATAAGTCCGGCTACGCAAGGAACTGAACACACACCTTTTGGATGCGCAGGCGAGCTCCTAGACTCTCTACCACGGCAACTCCTTTATGTGGAGACTGGAGATTAGTAACGATTTACGGAAACACGCATAAAACAGACAAGAGAAACATGCCGACCACATTAAAAGGCATAACCTTCTTAAAAAATCAAACTGGGAGGATAAGTGAAAACCAGACGAGCAAGTGTTAGACAACGATACACGTGGGAGGATGTCATTAGTAAATGTAGGAACACGAGTCTAAGAAAGTCTACAACCAGAGCAAAAAAGAGAAACCAATGCCGGATTACGTATAAGCTAAACAGGCTTCAGGTTAGGGCCTCACAATCTACAGAGCCTTTACAGATTGATATTCTCCGTCAGAAATGCAGTTTAAAAAAATTATATTTTCAATGCAATTATATTTTTATATTTCATGAATTTCAATTAGCATTTTTTCTAGATAAATTAAACGACACAATCTCCATTATCTATGTATATAAAAGGGATACACATTTTTTTTGTTTTCTGACAACAGCTGGTGTAATGTAAAACGGTAGTGACCTCAGATCTGATAAAGGTGATGACTTCCTCAGTTCTAAATCCAGCCCCAAAGAGAGTTTTGAGATTGGACATTTATTGCGATTGGAATTAATTATAAAGACTGTACTTGACTGATTAAACAATTCAGAGTGTCAATACAAGCTTTGGGAGCACGGCTGTATATTCACGATTGTCTCTTGAACATGTACTCCTACAGGTTCATTGAGCACTGACGGCCGCTGTCTGGGCATGTGTCTTCTGCCCTACTACCTTCTCCTTGGGGGCATCTTGTCTCTGGTGCCTGTAGCTGTATCCATCATGA